AGCTCATTGCCGCCATAAATCCGAAATTTGACCCTGCAATAACAACCCGACAGCTTTCGGTAAAGACAGGCTCTCAGCCTTATCAGCAGTGCCTGAAAACCCTAAGTCACAAGAGTGTAAGATGAAACGAACCAGAGATCGCTTTAGCCGCTGTGTCCCACACTTGGGATCTAAAACCGATAGAGATTTATACTCTGTCTAAATACTTTTCTCGATTGGTTCCTGGCTGAAGGTGTTAATTCTCTTAGTCATGATGTGGAACGTTGTGGAGGTGATGATCAGTGTCCTTATAACATCTTTGAGAATCTGGCATCTGGACTCTCGCAACCAAGTAAGCTGAGCATATTTTCACCAACCGTATGTCTGTGATGTAAATGCTAATTAATTGCTATAGTGAGTTTGAATCAGGCGACTTAGCAAACTGAATCCCCAATCATCAAGCATTAAAAAAACACTGAGCTTGTTGCCGCCAGTGTATCTGAGCTACCCCAATCACAAAAAAATCCATTTCCATGAAAAAGTGTCTACATCGAGATGGATACCGCTGTGTAATAACTCAACAGATGGATATTTGTCACTGTTAAGGCAACACACATCACACCATTCCTTATACCGCTTGGCATAACTCCTCACTACATCTCAAATCATAGCTTTTTTTCTACTTCTATATCAACTTCTTCTTCTTTTTTTTTTTTTTTTTTTTTTTTTTTTTTTTTTTTTTTTTTAGTAATTTGCTAATTTAATACAGAATGAAAATAATACTACAAACATATGGAAGACTTTATTTCACTGTTTTCCATCTGTACAACGAAATTGGTATGGGTGCAGAAAATACCAATAGTCTGTTGAATGGAATAACATTTGAGGGACACTATGCATAATCAGTTTCGAAAATTTTTGACGTGCTTTTGAACCTACAGTAAGAGTACATTTTCTAGAGAATTTTCAAAATTATTGACGAAAAGTATCAGGATACTCCAAATGTGTTTAATTTCAAGGCCTACTCAACATACCCCACTGGGGAAATGGTGTTCTTTGCCAAACGATGGAAAATTTTACAATGCTGCAAGGCCCAGGAGCCGAAGATGAGATGCTCCTGTCTCGTGATCTTTAGAGTGTCATTGGAGAGTTGCGAAATATTAATGCCGCTGGTATGAATGAAGTTATAGATCAGATCACACAAGCGTGGAAAGACTTGGAGGAAAGTGGTGGTACGCACGGTTGCCTGAGGGCGGATGGGCTGGGCTGAAATTTCAGGCTTTCTGAAGGCTGCTTTCTGGGCCAACGGTTCCTGGATATTGCCTTAAAAGGAGTTGTAAGGTTAAAAGTGATTGCTTTTGAGATCGGAGCGTGATATCTCCCTGTCGGTATCTTTCCAGATCTTACCTGATCACGCAGAGCGCATCCAAACTGACGTCACTCGCCGCATGGGGATTGTATCCAACATCAAATCCACCGCCCTGATTTTCTGTTTATTTGCTCTACATTGGCCTTGCAGTGGGAACCAAGTACGGGTAGGCATCAAGTACTCGACAAGAAGATCACATCGGAGGCTAAGGCTATAGGGGTCCAGACCCGGTCTATAGTTAAACCTGCCGGGTGCCAGGCGGCCCGGAGGCGCCCGTGGCAATTCGCTTCGCCCCCACTACTCGTCTGGGACTTGTAGTCAGTCAAACACCCATGGATTTTTGTTGGAAGCCGAGCTTAAGTAATGGTGGCTTATCTGGTTAACTACACAACTACTCCGTACAGAACACTCAAAAAACGACATTCGGCAGAGTTCAAACTTATCGTGACGTTCACAACCCTTTATTTCGCTTTAAACCCACGAATTGAACCGGATCTTAGCCATTAGTCTAATCTCTAATTCTAACACCTCATTCCTAACCCTACGCCATCCCTAGCCCTCTGTTAGTTGGGGTGAGAGAGTATCGCAAGAAATGTTGTTGCGTGCTATATACAATAGATTCAAAATGCATCTACCAAAGTTCTAGGCCATTGGGGCGAAACAGCTTGAGTTACCACCAGCCAATCGAATCCCTCCAACAAAAGCTTAGCTCAGATCAAGTGACTGCCAACCACCTTGGACGCTGCGACGAACGAGCTCCTTGTTCCTGTCGCTTGGAAATATCAAGGATGCTAATGGCCTTAAACAGACCAGGAACTTCGCGATCAGAGGTAGCGCATGTTTGCTTCTTACTCTACAGGGATCCTTATCGATGACGTTTCTGCCCTGCAGCATTATTGTTATTATTAGTACTATCCTCATTTCGCCAGGAAACACAGCTGTGCATGCCTATTGATCACTCTCGGTCATTCGAAACAGGACCTTATCTTCGCTTGTTAACATCCTTGGGCGTAGTTGCGCGGGTGCGTACCAACCGCCTGTGGATGCGGTAGAGATACATCAGCATCGCGCACCGGCGCTTTTCTTTCTGACAGAAGTCGGGACTAGCCAGGGGGTGAATATCTTCGCTAACATGCACATTTCCTCTAGAATTTTTTTTTTTCTTCCGAAAATCTCCTACCTCCCCATATTTTATACAAGGGGGTTATGTATTTTCTTCCACGAACCATGAACATGGAAGCACAGTTTCTCCATGCTCAACCTCGCAAACTGAACGCGAACATCTTAAAGCCGTAGGTGGAGTGCTCTCACCAGCAGCTGTTACCACTCTTGATTTCTCGTGGCTGGGATGTATTTTGCCTGTCGCAAAACTTACAGATGCGGTATGCCATTTTTTTCTTTTATATTATTAATACTGACAACCTGAATTTGAGTTTGGACACAGAATACTCCGCGCTTATGCCCTGGGATATCTTACTGTCACTGGACCTAAACTCATAGCTTTTCTCCATGTAATTCGCAGAAAAGATTTGAACGACGAAGAGAAACTCAATCGCGTGCGTCTGGATTCCTTAAAATCCCCCTACATTAGTTTTCTGATTTACGTATCTATTCACTCGAACTACGGATGGACTCTACCAACCAGAAAAGTACTGACTTTTGGCGGCCCCCTTAATAGCTTTTTAAGATTTTAAGTAGACCATTTCGTTGGAACAGGTTTCCGACTTTTTGCGCCTTGCTCGCCGGAGGGTCAACTCTACTACCAGCAGTCTTTGAGTCTCTCTTCACGAGATTCACGAGAACTTGGACTAAGGGAAACGGCAAAGCTCGGCCCGCCATAACACAGTGTTTATTGCGCACTATTCGCTTTCTTTCAGCCCTTTTTTCCGCGTGGGTCTGCTTTCCCATCATTAACTCTAATGGTGAAGTCCCGCCAAGTGCTGCTACTTCGCGTTCGGAGGAAGAGGCTGCGATAGCCTCAAAGACAAAACGGAGAAACCAAAGCAAAGCTCCAGAGCCCCCTGGTCTGGCCGGGAAAACACTTGACCTAAGTCTTTTTGCGGTCATCAGAGCAACGGATGCTGTCGCATGCATGGCATGGGAACATTGGCGAAAACGTAGAGAGGCACGAAGTAAATGGACATATGCGGAGTCTATCTCTCCACGATTAGCAGACGCTGGAGTCTTTGCTACAAGCTCTGCCATAATCATGTGGGCGTGGTTCTATCTACCAGAGAGATTACCAGCCGCCTACAGCAGGTGGATCGAAGACGCTGCGCAGATTGATAACCGGCTGATCGAAACACTCCGCTCAGCCAGACGGACCGAGTGGGAGTACGGAAAACCATCAGAAAATAAACCTCCATTACAATCCATGTGCGATGATTATAACTTACCTCGGGAATGGGGGGATCCAGAGAAGACAATCCCTTTCCCCTGCGAGCTTGTGCACATGGGCTGCGGCCCCAGCTGTGAAAAACATGCCCTATGGAGATTTGCCAAAGCCTTCCACTTCGCCTGTGCCACATATCTACCAATCCATCTCGCGTTGCGTTGGCGATCACGGTCCGTAACCGTATTCGTCGACGCGGTGAAAAACGCACTCCGCTCCTCTACCTTTCTCGGTTGCTTTATTAGTATTTTCTACTACTCCGTTTGTCTGGCCCGAACGAGACTGGGACCTAGGTTATTTAGCCCGAAGCTTGTCACGCCTATGATGTGGGACTCCGGGTTATGTGTTGCTGCTGGATGCTTGATGTGTGGGTGGAGCATTTTGGTTGAGAACGCGAAGAAGAGGCTGGAGCTTGCGCTTTTTGTGGCGCCCAGGGCTGCGGTGACGATGTTGCCGCGAAGATATGATAAGAAGGTATGTTTTCAAGATAGAGATGCCACCAAGCGGAAAATTTTCCTCACTGAATATGCCTGAATTTGTCCTTGTTACACAACTTCTTTTTATTTTCTTACTTTTTTAAAAACGAAAAACTAACCCTTCCTCCTCTGTCTCAAAACAGCATCAATGGAAAGAGCAAGCCGCATTCTCCGTGAGCACCGCAATACTCATAACTGCTATCCAGGAGAGACCAGAAATGATCCGAGGGGTATTTGGAAGGGTCCTGGCCCCGGTTTTCAATCATTAGATCTCTTGAAAGCTCTGGAGGTTTATTCGCGACAGCCAATACAATATATATAACTTAGTGTAATGTTTTATTATCATACGATGTCTATCATATTCTGCAGTAAGCTTTCTTTGATTGATTTTTCTTCTATATAAAATGGTGAAATGACACTTGACTTTGTTTTGAACCAGCTTTGAAGAAAATATCCATCGTATTTAACTGAAACTGTAGAATGAGTATCGTATAATCACGTGATTGTCGTGGGTATCCATCGGGATTCGATCTCGCTCAAGCGATCTTAGAATTTCCCTCATCGATTAGATCAAACCCATTCTCACAAATGCTAGAGAAATACGATTTGTTACTATGGTGCCACGGATAGCTTCTATATGGAGTCGAAGGCTTCTAGGGCCGGAGCCACTTTCCATTTACTCTTTTGCATGCAGACAACAGCGTCATGTCTCCCGACGACCTTTTTCTACCCCATCTGCACGACAACAGCAGATTCCCTCGCCCTCTCTACAGAGTAAGATGTCGTATTCTAAAAATCAATCTTCCTTGTAAGTTGTAATTTTTCAGTCAGCCCTTCTTTTTTCACAGTCGATTTACAAAAATATGCCAATGCCTCTCTTTTAGGTACTATACCATCAGCTTAATTATCGGAACTGTTGCTCTCGCATACGGGTCGGTTCCCATGTATAAAATGGTACTTCGTCTTTTATTTTCTTTTGATATATATTTCTTGACTATCCAACAGTTTCCGCACGACGTCTACATATTGTCGCTAACATGAGTTAAACGGTAAAAATAGATATGCCAACAGACCGGCTGGAACGGTCAGCCTGTCCAAACGCACCGCACAGAAGAAAACCCCGCCTCTCGCCTCAAACCTGTAACCTCATCCCGTCGATTACGAATTACATTCAACGGATCGGTATCCGACGTCCTACCCTGGAAATTCACCCCTCAGCAGCGGGAAGTTAGAGTTCTCCCGGGAGAAACGGCGTTGGCGTTTTATACAGCAACAAACAAGGGTCCCGAGGACATCATCGGCGTTGCTACGTACAGCGTTACTCCGGCGCAGGTCTCTCCATACTTCAGCAAAATTCAGTGCTTCTGCTTCGAGGAACAAAGATTGAGCGCGGGCGAATCTGTGGATATGCCGGTATTTTTTTTCATAGATCCGGATTTTGTCAATGATCCGGCTATGAGAAACATTGAAACTATTACACTGTCGTATACTTTTTTCAGTAAGTTGGAGACTTCAATTAGAGTCGGTGTCCGGTGGATTTTTCGGATTAGCAACTAATGGAACACTCTACTGCAGAGGCTCGATATGATTCAAATGGGGTACTGAAGCCGATTACAGGAATGGCGATTCCAACCTAGTCTTCTCACTTCAATTGCCCAAACAAACTGCCCACTAGCATTAGGTTTTGCGGACAACATCTCAATGCCTTTTCCATTCAGAATGGTTGTGGACTGGTGAATCATTCTTGCAAGATTGGATAACCAATTCCACCTACAGTCCGCCTTATTACATTGCGATCGAACAGTTCGAACGAAAACTATTACACCTACCGGCCCAACGGCGATAACTGTACATAGAGAAATCATTTGAAGTATTATGGCTTTTTGTAACTATTATCTGTACACTATCTTTTTTGGGGGCGGCGATCAGAGTTTCAAATCATAAACGGCGTTCTTTGGGATAAACTGGATGTTTCTGAGAATGAAATACCAGTAATGAGCATGTCTCTTCTCACATCTACATAGAACTATATTCAAATAATTTCAACGTTGAATGAATACGGTACTACTCTGTACTTCCTGCTTTTCGGTCTTCCCCCTCACACCGTTGGAGTAGTAAGCAGAAGCACAGACCACCAATTAATCGCGCCTAAAGCCAGCACGCGTCAAAGTTAAATCTCTCCGATATGAAGTTGTCCACGGTTGAACACCTACATTTCACACCCCAATACCCTATTTACCATTGACAAATGGCACTTCTCGTTGATAGGCTTAGGCCTAGAAGCCTTGATGCTCTCACCTACCATAATGACCTTTCTGCTCGATTAAAATCGCTTGTAAGAAATCAACAACTCAAGCAAAACAAGTAGTCCTTCTCCACTGACTAGAGTACCTTCACAGGCGCAAAGCGGTGATTTCCCCCACCTTCTCGTTTATGGACCGTCGGGGGCAGGAAAGAAAACCAGAATAATTGCTACACTTAAAGAACTCTTTGGTCCCGGAGTCGAAAAGATTAAGATCGATGCGCGGATCTTTCAAACCACCAGCAATCGCAAGCTGGAATTCAACATTGTCTCCTCCATCTACCACCTTGAAATCACGCCGTCCGATGTCGGGAATTACGACCGGGTTGTGGTGCAGGAGCTTCTAAAGGAGGTTGCGCAAACGCAGCAGGTCGACTTGTCCGCGAAGCAGCGATTTAAGGTCGTTGTGATTAATGAGGCAGATCATCTCACGCGAGATGCGCAGGCAGCCCTACGAAGAACGATGGAAAAATACAGTCCAAACCTGAGACTTATTCTTCTTGCCAACAGCACAGCGAATATCATCGCTCCCATTCGATCCAGAACCCTCCTTGTTAGAGTCGCCGCGCCCGCCGAGGCTGAAATATGCCAAGTGTTGAAACTTGCAGTGAAAAAAGAAGGCTGGACAGAGGCGCCAGGCCTTAACAAGCGGATAGCTAAGGAGAGCGGGCGGAATCTTAGGCGTGCTCTTCTCATGTTAGAAGCTATATATGCACAGAAGTGAGCTCCGATCAACAGCTTTCGCCAGCCCCGAGAGATAAGATCGACTAACTAAAGTTCATTACCAACAGCGAGAAAGTCACGGATGATACTCCTATCCCGCCACCAGACTGGGAGGCATTGATATCCTTGATTGCGGATGAAATCATGGCAGATCGTTCGCCTGGAAGAATTCTTCAGGTTCGAGCAAAATTATACGACCTGTTAACGCATTGTATCCCCCCAACAACCATACTCAGGGTGAATCATGCAACCTCCATTCAATCTATAGAATTTTGAAATTTGTATACTAACTTTTGATCCGTAGACATTGACTTTCAAACTAATACCCAAAATCGACGACGCGTTGAAACCTGAAGTTATTAAATGGGCAGCCTTCTACGAACATAGAATAAAGCTTGGAAGTGTACGTTAATAAAGAAGTGGATGTGTTCTACAGAACAACATGCTAATGGTGTAAATCGTCACAGAAAGTTATATTTCATCTTGAAGCGTTTGTTGCCAAATTTATGCGAGTACTCGAGAGGTAAGTTTCATTGCACCCAGATTTCATGCACGTGTCCTGCCACATTTACCTTTTTTTTTCTTCTAACGATATAGCAGTTATTTGATGGGCCTTGAATTCTAAATACTTGCACCTCTCTCCATGTCGTTAGCGTGTAGCGTTACCTGGCTTTTTTGTGACTGGTTTTTGTTCCGAGAAATTTGCGAAATTGGGATCTAGCTTATTGCTATCCGATGGTTTATGGCTTGGTCTTGAGGTGCATCGAGTAAGGGAGAATAATATGCCATCGTCCAACACTACAATCCAATTGTACAAAATCAATTGTATTCATTTCCCACTTTATAATCCCAAAATGCCCGTTGCCAATTCCTACAACCTCGCCGCAGTAAATTTCCAGGCATGATCCGTGTTATATTTTCCGCACCGCAGGAATACAAACCAGCGTTTATCTGGGGAAAGTCTTCTATTCTTGGAGATATGTGAATATTACAACGCCGTGATGTACATGTAAACTGAGAAAAAAAGAAGGATATTTATTGCGAAGGAGCGGAACCCTCTGGGGAAGATGGAGGGTTTTTTTTCTCTGAATTCAATGGAACTTCTCTCCGCGCCCTCTTCAATGACTCCAGCGTGACACCATTTTGCAATTTCGTAAGACCCACTATGGGAGGATCGCCCTTTTTCACGAATTCATAGAGCCCTATGAGGAAGATTCGGGGTCAGCTTCTCCTCTACAGCCAGTCTGCGACAGTGGAATATCCAGCCCGAAAACCATGATCTAGTTCAAAGAAACATACCAGGCATCTTGGCCGCTGCCAACCTAAACGCCTCCCGCGCCACCTTCTCATGGAGATCCCCCTTCAGCTCGAAAATGATTCGATTAACCGCGACTCTTGCAGCCCAATAATCGAATTTACCCTTGCCCTTCCCCATACGCTGCTCGTTACCACTTGTATAGACACCGATATTAGCAGCTACTCGTGGGTAGAATTTGTACTTCATGCCTCTGAGTCGTTTCTGGATCGTTTCATAGCCGATCTTCAGCTGATCTGCCGACACTCGACGGTCATGATCCTTCATCCGAAGGCCATAGTCGCCCCAGATGACCGTTGTTCCCCGGGAGGAACCACCGGTGGGCATTCGAGGACGGCCCTTTTGCGACTTCCGTTTCTCGCGGTGTTTTGGGACTAGCCAGTTGAAGGATGGGAAGGTCGTGGAGAAACATCGTGCGGAAGCGGGTAAGGTCGTGGAAGCTTTTTATATCAAAAACTATGCGTAAGATTTATGTGCTTTAGAGCGTGATCTAGGGGGGGGGGAGGGATTGTACTCACATGTAGATCGCAGAGAGTTTAACTGAAGCCCCTGGAAAATATTTAATCGGGGGGTCATGTTTCCGACGTGGAATTGAATCGTTGTTGCTCTCAACGGACGGCGGCGTCATTCATCGCTGTGAAATGCGAAATAATCCAAAGCGTGCACGGGCCATTAAAAGGAACCTAACCTCTGCTGACATAATCCACAGCGAGCATAACTACTCCGTACTGAACTAACTACTCAACACCACCAGTTAGTTGAAACTACATTTTTTCAAACATGGTTATTCACAAATAGTCAATAAAATTATAAACTAACTAGTTGGTTAGTTAGCTATACAAAACAAGTCCTTTGGAACTTGTGTTTCTTACTCACAAAGGAATATGCGGTCAGAAGTGAGGAAATTACCCACGCGATCTTTCTTCAGCACAGAGGGAGACCTTCCCAATCGAAGTGCCCGATCAAGCGTTCCGAGTTTTGTCTTCGGGCGATGTGAATAACTTCATTGCCGGCTGGCAAACATAGAGAGGTTGGATCTTTCAAAGTTTTGTGATATTCAAAAATAACACTGACAACGCATAAGGAAAATGCGGCTTGATGTTGACTAAAATTACTACGAGCTATGTATATCTTGATAAACGGATAGGGTCCTCAGAACCAGGACGGAATAAAAATGGTACTGTACATTTCGATCTTCCTTCTAGAATCCTTCTCCTTATTAATCAATGCCTCAAAACCCAAAGTTCTCCAATTCTACCGGTCATCCTGCTTTTTCCCCCTCCTGGCACTTGTGCGTCGATTCTTGGATATTTCCTGAGACCTAGCCGATAATACGGACTTTGAATTGGCTGCAGTGGCTTGCTTTGGTCTTCGTTTGGATACAGCCTTATGCGATTTGGTAGACGCCGTCTCACCTGGAATTTCAGTTTCCCTAGGCTCCGGTGGTTGCTGTTGTTGTAGTCGTTTGCTTCTACGTAGAGGTGTGCTAGCAGGTTTAGAGAGTGTTCAAGTTACATCTGGTCCCGGTAACGACGGACCACCAGAGGTTACCTCTGCGGATGAATTCGGTGGTTGCCGACGTCCACGTCGTCTCTCTGGGGAAGACTTTGATACCCTTGATGAATGTACCGGGCCTAGAAAACTTTTGTTGAGTGGTGGTTGTCTATCTTCGCTAGAAAATCTTTGTCCGCCAGATCGTTCCATCCGCCCCGTCACGGGAGAATCATCCTCTCCTCGTTGTCTCCCGGAAGGTGGGTTCGATTCCAGGGAATCCTCGGCGTCACCGTTAGCGAATCTGACCGAGTTATCCGCAGAATGTCCTCGCTGAGGTTTGCTCACTACACCAGATGTTTGGCGAGCATCTGTTTCATCGGGAGGAATGGGGTCAAAAAGACGTGGCAGAGGTGCTTCTCCAGCATCGTGGGAGTCATTCCCAAGGGAGTTCACCTGAGGAAGCGGGAGAAGATCAGCTCCAATCTCAAGAGGCCTCTCATGCTTCCAGCTCATCCCAGGTAGTATACCCCACTTTACGTCCCAAATCCCTCGTCGGACCCAAGTGCTCTTGATATTCTCGTACGCTTGAGTATTAATGTCGTCCTCGGTAGTAGCAGGGGCAGTGACTTCCTCACTCCCTGTCTTTCCTTGGATCAGTCCACCCCCCTTCAACACCTGGTAAACAAACTGATGAAAAGGGCGTGAAGCCTCACGTTCACACTTGAGTGCGGCCCGCCGCTCTGCAATAAGTTGCTTCTCTTGATCACTCTTTTGCCGCCTGGGTTTTGGCTCTGTCGGGAAAAAAGAGAAGCGAGGTTGGGGTGTCACTACTCTATCAGTGTCCGATTCCGAGTCAGATTCTTCTAGCTCTTCATGCTTCCACTTCGTTGAAGCTAAAGTAGTCCTACTATTCCACTTGTCGTTCCAGATGCCCTGCTCGATCCACCGCTTCTTAATATTTACCTCCGCCAGTCGGTAGAAGCTTATTCCAACCGGCACATGTTCTGTCCTGTCCATAGCTGCTTTGAAGATCCGGTTTTCTTCCGCCTTCCTCTGAGACGTGAATTGTTCGTAAGGACTGGACGCTCCCCGCTCCCTAATGAGACGAAACCGTTGCTCTTCGCGTCGTTGATTCTCTTCGCGTATTCGCTGGTCCTCACCAGGCGGAATTGGACTCTGAGACAATGTTGAGTTGTGTGACTGATGAGATTTGTATGATGGTGGAGAATCGCTGAATCGTCTTCTTGTGTGATCGAGTAGCTGCGGATCCTGCTGCAACGCTTCCAAGGCCCTTTGAGCCCTAACTAGCCCATCCCCTCGAATATCTGGAAAAGCCATGGCAAGTTGTTTGCTATCAGCAGATATCAGCAGAGGCGAGATCGCGACGTAGGGCAAAAAGTAATGTGGTGGTGGTGTGAAAAAGCACGCGATGATGGAAGCTCTCTCCAATAGCCCTGGAGTTCACTCAACAAAATTCGCGGCAATTGACCCTGTGTGCAGTTTATATTTTTCACACTTGGAATGGCGCGTTTGCCAAGCAGGGCTACACGATGGCTGCCGAAAGGGGCGTCGCCCCATTCGACTCCGCTAGAGTCGCTTGGCCGGCCAAACAGGGATTGTTGGGCTGGACATTTCCATGCGACAACCAATACGACGACCGTCTTTCACACCCTGGACAGTTGGCAACGAGGCAACATGGGGCTACAAAGAGCTGGAGGGGTTCAAATTTGCAGACTGGAACAACCATGGCAGAGTTCAAAGTTGAATGCAGCTTAGGGTCGGAACTTGGTTTTATTTGAGTTGAAATGGCACCTCTCTGCCGCTGAGATGATAGGGAAGAACTGGAAAATCATCTCCCCGGACATAGAAGACAATCCCCGCGTCGCTCGGACTATCGACGACGCGGAAACTGTCTTGCCCTCTCGGCGAGAAACCAGGCCACACACGTCGGGACGGGTTGAGCTAAAGATGAGATACGCAACAATTGATAGGATTGGATCCGGGAATTTTGGGGAAGTATACAAAGTCGTTGACGCGGACTTGGGCAGGCTCATGGCCGTTAAGATATTAAAAAAAAAAGACGCCTGTGAGTGGAGCAACAGAAGAACAGGTTGCTGCATCGAGGAAATCGGCGTATCATGCACTGAAGCGTGAAGTAGAAACTCTTGCCAGGATCAGCCATGTGAGTTAGACTCCCAAGGTCATTTTGCAGACGAACTAATGTGCTCCAGCCATATATTGTTGATTATATCGCCTCCCAAGGCTGGGGCGGACCCAATGTTGAGATATTCATGGGTCTAAAAGAAGGGACATGGAGTCATTAGTCGAGATCGGGTCTGCCGCCGGCTTCGAGCCTCTCCTTTTCCATCATATGCTCCAAGCACTCGATTGCCTTGCATTCCACGGCCTCATTCATCGAGACGTGAAGCCGGAGAATATCCTCTACGTAACGGGTTCGGATGGCCAGTATTTATTCCAGCTCGGAGATTTTGGTCTTTGCAACCGTAAAGTCGTTGCCGAATCTGCTGTCGGAACTTTACTTTACATGGCCCCTGAGATATTCTATGAAACGGAGCAAACCCATAAAGTAGACGTTTGGTCGCTCTTTGTCACGATGTTGTGGACACTTGATACAGGATTTCGTCAGATTTGCGGAAGTTTCAATGGCGTAGGTGAGATTCATCAGGCTATCTCGCTTGCGGCCTCGCAGTTACCCACTGTTGCACGAATCAAAGAAATGGCGATCGTTGATGCGGAAAATCGTGCTTCAGCGGCGCAAATGCTTCTCAAACACTTCAATGGGAAAGGGCTCAGTACTCCTCAGAATCAGGTCCCAGCTTTGCGGACCACTCCCGCAGGCCCGGCAACCCCCGTCTCTAGAACAGGACAGCCAAAAGGTCCACAGAATCATGCGAGTCCACCCACAGCTGCAGGTCAATACGGAGTCGGTCAAGCTCTTCAAGATCCTTCGCAAAGACTAGCATTAGATCCAATGACCGATGTGCGCCTGGGACAAGCATTCAGTCCCCCATTTGCAGAGAATCCTCAAATTCCTGGCAACGCCCCATTTGGCAACGCCGACCTTAGGCCGAGGAAGAGCAGAGAAAGGGCCCACTTTTCCTGAAATCCACCACCGCCGTGGAATGTGAAGATGATATGCTTCGTCGTCGTATCTGTCTACATATCTCTACTTCGTTGAGCTGGCAACCAGAGAAAGAATCTAGACGGCATCTTCACGTGGGCAATTCAAGCATGGGCAGGCAAGGTTAACCGCTCGACCAAAATGGTCATAAACTATAACAGCTAGCAGGAGGGAGAGCCTGTACGGATGTACTCTACATGTAGTTTCTTTAGTTGAAATCCCCAGGTGGGGTTGCGAGTCCTTTACAACATGGTAAATGTACACTTTTAATTTGTTTTTATATTGTTGATATTTCATTGATACTTGTTGATAATCAACTTGATATTATTTTTGTTATTGTTGCTATCTAGCTACTTCGAGTAGTTTTTCTGTAACTAAGATGAATGTAAATTACTGTACATAATTATAAAGATCACACGTTGAATAGAATATCAGAGTTGTCTAATAAAGATGTTGGTGAAGATATCAACATCTTTTCTGATTACTATATTCAATAACTACTCCAAATTGTATATAAAATAGAGCCCTACCTACCAACAAATCTACATACTCAATAATAACATCACCATCTAGCTACCCACCTACTTATCAATGCCAGCTTACAAGCTGACTAGCTGCCTATCTACCTGCTTATCTATCTACTGACCTGGCTGAATGATTGATATCCACTGATGATATCTATTGATGAGAGCTAGCAACGATATCTAGTGATGATATCTGCGATGATATCGTTTAATAGCAACATAATGAATAATATGACTTCGGACTTTCGCTCTGTCTTGCCACAGCTGCATGCTCCATGAAGCCCCTGCTATAGAGTGTTGTGCCTGAGCTTTTCCACCCTTTGAAGGAATTAAAGACGCCTTCATCCCCTGGGATTTAGAGGTTCGTTTGCCCATTCTCAGAAGAGGGGGTGATAGAGGCAGGCTGCCCCTAGTAAGTGATGTGCAATAGTAGTAATAAATATGGACTTGTGATCATTCTGTGTCTGTGCAGAAGATGCTGAGAGAAGAATATATATATATATATATATATATATATTGACTGTCTATTTAAATACAGTTTAGATAAGGAGGAAGGGTTAGCAGATAAGAGAGTTGACACCATCAAAAGTGGACTGTACTTGTACGAGCCGGAAGCGGCGCAAAAGAAAATCCGGACATCCCGCTAAATAGGCACATGGGCTGACCGAGTCCGCCATACCCATCAACCCCGGGAGCATCAGAGACAGGGAAACAATCGTGAAACTGGACAGAAATCCAGCTCTACACATAGTGAAACCAGAGGATATACAAACATAAGCGAACAAAGCACTACAATCAATAGCCAATCTCACTAGGGAAGACGCTGCGCATCAGTGCATCAATGCCCCTCCACTAACCACCTCTTGGCTGAGCAACAAATTAAGATGGCGTTGCATCGCGCGATAGTGAACGAGCCAACCGCCAGAGAACATGAAGTCCTCAAAATTGCGTATGATGGCCTCCGAATTACGGAAGAGCAGCTTCAAGATGTGGAGCGTGAGATCTGTCGTTTGATGTCCGCCAAGATGATGTGGTTCCCCGAGCAATCCAGTTTATCACGCGACTTTCATCAGAAATGGGATGAAGGTTTCGGGGACGGAGACCTGCCCCCGTCAGAATGGTGGAAATGGGCAGCCCACAATGGTCTCTTCGAGTCCGTGGATAATCTGGACCGAGAACTGGAGAAAGCAAATGCATCAAAGGCAAAGTTTGAGGGTGTTCAAAGTGCTCTTCGATGCTGCATCAACAACTTGTCGCGTCCGTATCTGCGAAACTTAAATATTCTGGACTTGCCTAACGAGATTCTTCTCAAGGTCTTCGAGTTCGTGGAAGACAAGTTTGAATTCCCATTGCTATTGCCATTCTACCGTCAAGGCACAAAGGATATCAAGAACATACGCCTGGTCTGTTGGCGATTCTGTAACCTGAGCTCGCAGCTGCTCGTCCGTGTTGTGCGTGTCAACTTCAATGAGCTATCACTTGCGCGCCTAGAAGAGATTTCTCGCCATCCCACTATCTCCAAAGGCGTTCGTGCCGTTCAAATTGTCCTTCATTTTTACAACTTCTCATTCACCGACTTCCACCGGTTCATTTCATACCAAGCAGACGAAGTTGAAAACCATGTTGACCCTTTCGACCACGCGAAGATGTGGGAGAGTTTGGACATACCCGAGCAGACAGCATTGGAAATGGTTTCAAATGGAAGGGCGGTTATATCTACACTACGTCGACTTGAGTTAGCTGATCCTGATGATAACAGCGGATATTGTGAGGGCGACGAAGATCATCGAGCACGTCTGGGAGAAATACATCGACAGTATCTGATCCTTCTGGAGAAGCAGGAGTCACTAATAAGAACCAAAAAGTTATCTCAAACTGTTGGCTCTGCAATTTCCAGGATGCTGGGGCTGTGGAAGCTAGACTTTAACGATACGGATTTTGAATCCTTGAAGGACCGGCGACTGATGGTACCTGGGGGCAGTATCTGGGATGCACTACATCGTTACATGCTCCAGCCAATAACCGGCGATGATGCAAAGAAACATGGGCTCGAGCTACCTAATTATCAATGCATCGTCAATGTGATAGATTCTGTCCGAAGAGCGGGTACATTGCTTGACAACATCGATATCAAGCTGTCAACTCTGGGATATCCTGGGAGCTTAGCGCTGGCTCCGGATATCCGACGAGAGTTTTCGTCCAGAATGCAGCAGCTGAAGGAATTTGCATTCTCGTTTGAGGGCAATCTTACGGAGCAAGACGCAGATGATCTTAGCAAATTCCTGTCTGCCTTCTTGGACACATCAAGCCTACAAAATCTCAGATTGCATATGAGAGGCGAGGAGGCCGAAGCGGCAAGAATTGACGTGGGCCAAATCATAGGGTCAAAGTCCAGACATAAGTTGATCGACATCTCCTTTGACCAAGTCGCCATGGATCTTCCTAGGCTGCTGCGCTTCCTCGAACGGCTGCCGCAATCAATCCACTGCATCCACCTGCGGGATGTCCGTTTGCTTAGTGGTACCTGGAAAGAGGCTCTGGATGCGCTTCGGAAGAAGAGATCTCGTGTTGTGCTATTTAGCGAGCCGCAGGGCGCCGAGTGTGACAATATGCCACGCGAAGTCTACGAAAGTATATTCAGTACGGAGAACTGCGACGTCAGCAATGCCGAGCGTTACATCAGGAACTGGATCCCGTGGGAACCCAATCCCCTGCAGGCGCTTGAGGACGGGCTTTACAATGCGAACTGACCCAAGGGGCCTCCGATGGATAAGATGTTCATCGATGGCACTCTTGTGGCATATTGTGATGACTGTGGATCTCATGCAGGAATCTACTATGGGGGAGTCTATTGTGATTGATTGTTTGAAGAGGATAAAGAATACTTCTCATTATCTAACAATGTTTGAAGGCTTATTTAATAAGTTTTTCAAATACTGCTCTTCATTATTATTTCCATTATTAAGTGAATAGATATTGAAATAAAAAGATTCAATTAAACAGAGGAGAATACACTTGGTTCATTGATGTCAGAGAACTGATGTGGGCAATCAGTTTTCTGACTTTATATCAGAGTCAAATGAAGATTTGACATGAGTCAAGAGAATGTGTGCACTGTTCATCTTGAATGAGAGAAAGTTTCATCAATCAGCTTCATTAAAATTATATACTGTTTCTCATATCAGTGCAATAAATTTTTGAGATTGATAACCCCCAGTGTTGATGCTGACTCACTAGATTAGATCTTTACTCAAATAACAATCTGTCTATATATGCTTCTATCCGCATTCTAAATTGAAGCTTTCAATCACTGTGCTTCTTTATAAGCCGAAGTGGGGTTCTTGAGAAAAAGCAAAACGAAACCGTCACCCCGCTTGTTTTGAAAGGTGATGCATAGCTGGCTCCAGTGCATTAACAGTAGGTCAGACCACAACTTCTTATCTCTGGCTCTCAGATCTATTGCTCCCTCCCCACGCGGCCACTCAGGCAGTGGTTCCGGGATCGTGGTCCTTGACTGGCTCTGCCATGGGATCCCAATCATGGTCTGACTGGCCGGAGTGGCCTGGCTGGCCTTCTGGCGTTGCTCTCGCATCCAATGCTCCCGCCATCGCACGACCAGGACTGTCCCTGTCTTGTTGGGCCGTGGGCTAAACCACTAACTAGTGTACTTTGGACTAGCTGGAACCCCCTAAGGAACATGTTCATCCTTTCTGTCTGGGAACACATCAATATCTCTGGAACCTAACGGATCCAAAGGAATCATCTGTCTATTGGTTGTGCCATGAAAATATATTCTCTGTTCGAACGATTGAACCTCATCTTTGTACATTTTCTTCAGGGTCATTTTAGGTACCGGGTCCATATGTAGAATTGTGTTTATTTACGTGCATTGCTAAAATATACCTTTGAAGCTAGTATGGGTGTCTCTCTCACTTACTTCTTGGGGAGTTAGAAACAAAAACAGCTCTATCCAGGGGATCTCGATTCATGCGGTGCCTCCCCATTCTGCGCCCTCATAGATAACTCATTTGAGGCTATCAAAGGACAGGAAAAAGCGCTAAAAGGGAATCCATGAACTACCTCTGCATGTCTGGTATCTTCAGGGTGCCTGCAAACTCAGGACCAACTAGTTATTGTAACCTGATGTTAAGGAGCTGAGTGAGCATTGTCCCGTTCTCGAACCATCACTTCTAGCTGTCTCTATCGTTAGGACGTTGGAACACTCCCCTGTTGACCATCAACCACGCGCTCTGCAGGGTGAATACAAAGTCCCAAGCTTTCATTGTCTAAGCTCTTCGCTTTTTTGGCATCCTATGCTC